AGCAGCTGAGGGGCCTTTGCCCACTGAGAACCAGGCTGGGGCACTGTCCAGGGCAGTGCCCAGGGCAGGTCCACGAGGGTCAGCTGGGATCAGCTACAAAGCTGTGTAAAAAAAGGGAGGAAAGCAAGAGCACCCTTCAGCTCCTCCCCGTGCAGATGCAGGCCCTGGAATGTTGTGGTTTGCTTCTGTTTACATCCCTGGGCAGCAGAAGGACTCAGTGCAGGGCCTTGGCAGAGTCACAGCTACCACAGCAAACATGTGCCTTCTACAAAAGGTCTGGAGGGGACAGGACAGAGACAGGGACAGAGAGCACACACCAAGGGGGCTTCTGCTCTCTGAGGACAAGCTCCCACATCATTCCCTGAGCCTCCTCAGGAAAGCTCTGAGCTGAAATTGCTTCTGGCTCTGCCAGCAGTGTGAGAGCAAGGGGAGAGACCCCTTTATATGTTTGTAGAGGCTGAGAGGAGCAAATGGGTTTGGGTTTGTCCTGTTCGGGGTTCTTAGCCTGTTCATGTACCTTGTCAAAACTCCTCTTTCTCTAACAAAGAAAATTCTGTCAGTTCTTCCTTCCCTTCTACTTCAAGAGAAGGAAGTGCCCACTGAAAACCAGTGTCAGGCTTCTACCCACGGTAGAGACCTGGGAAAACTTCCTGCTCCTCCCCCTTGGGCAAATCAGATTGTGCAGTTTCTTCCCACTGATAATGTTTGCATGAATAACTTCATGTGTTTGCTGCTGAATTACTTGAGCATCTCTTGGGTGATCTGAAGTGATGCGAGAGCAGAACCAAACTCATTTCAGCTCCTGTGATAGGGCAGTGGCTTTGTAAGATGAATCATCAGTAACTGTTTCCCCTCCCTTCTCCTCTCCTCCCCACTCTCTGCAGCATTAACAGTAGCAAAGTTGTCCTGCGTTTTGAAAGATTTGGCTTGGGGATCCTGGAGCCGAGTAACCCCAAGCTGTAGCCCGGTGTCTTTGTGACCGTGCTGGCTGCCTGCTCCCACACAGCACAGAAACCTCCCTGGCTGCAGCCCCCTGGAGACCATCAGCTCAGCCCGTGTCCTGCCCGAGCACCAGCAGTTATTTCACAATGTTTACATGATACTTTTGTGTGAACTATATTTTTTTAAACATAATAAACCGTGAATCAAGTTGAACTACAGCCATTCTCAAACAGCACTGAAAGAGCTGAGCTGTCCCTGGTTCCTCCTTGTGTCAGGAGGAGCCACTCTGCCCTGAGGGCAGTGGAACAGGTCGTGGCTCCTGCGAGCTGTTGGCCTCCTGAGGTCAGCTCTCCCTGAAGGCAGAGCCAGCCAAAGCACCATTGCTCCAGCAGGGCTGCTCCAGCTCTGGTCACCCTGAATTTGGCTTCACCAGAGCAGAGCTGCTGCAGGAAGAGTGCCTGGCTCTGTTAGTGACTCAGTGCCCTTCTCCACAGAACTCACACTGAAACCTGCTCCTTCTCACACAATCCCAGAGGAATTCAGAATTGCTGGCCTTAAAAAATAAACTCATGACTTGTCACAGCTCTGCACAGGGACCAAATTCTTCTTTTGAAGTTCAGACCCAAGTCTGAATGCAGGGAAAGGCAAGAGAAACAGGACAAGGGAAAAGCTGTCCCTAAATAATGCAGTAACTAAGGCCTTGAGGCACAGAGCTTCAGAGTCCCTGCACACACACACAGAGTGTTGCCACTGCCTACAGCTGGCCACGATTGAGCTTGCACAGAGCTTCAGAGCCCCTGCACACACACAGAGTGTTGCCACTGCCTACAGCTGGCCACGATTGAGCTTGCAAGTTCCTTGTTTGAGAACCTAGGACCAAAGCAGATGCTTTGAGGAAAAAATACCTTTAAGAATAACAAATCTTGTAACCAAGAAGGCAATATCTGGGTCAGGTTCTGACCCAAACACCTCAAACTTGTTTGAGAGGTTAGTTTTAAAACCAAAACCAGCCCCCTCCTCCAGTGTACAGTGTGGAGGTTGTGGAGGTGACAGCCAGTGACCACACTGAGGTGACAGATGCATCATCCCCTTGGAAATCAATTGCAGGCCCCATGAGCAGAGGCTCCCCTTTCCCCACCATCATCCCGAGGCTCAGGGGGAGCTCCCAGATCTCTGAGCAGGCAAAGCCCCAGCCCTCAGTGAGGAGCTAAGTGGCACAAAATCTGAGTTCTGTTGGGCAGAGAGCCTCAGTCCTGTGTGCAGGTCTGTTGTAGCCTCTTACAAGTGTTGACAAAGGCTTTTTCAATGTGTCTCAGATCAAAAAGAGAAATGGGTTTGGCATGGCCAGGCACTGCAGTGCTGTCCTGATCCCTGTCCCCCTGGGGCTCTGCTCTTCTCACTACCGTGTGTCAGCAGCCTAAAGCAGAAATTTCCCCAAAAGTGCTGCTTAATTAAGAGCAGCACAACACAAACCCAAAGCAGGGAAGAAAGGTGCTGCCCCTCGGCTGGAACCCTGCGTGGGCTTCCTGCCCCAGGGAGGGAAGGGCAGGAGCAGCTGCTGGATGCAGACTGCGGGGAAGGGCAGGAGCTGCTGCTGCAGCAGCCTCGGGTGCTCCTCACCCCGTTTGTGGGTGCACAAAGCAGGCCCCAAGGGCTGGGACAGCCAGAGCAGAGCGTTCAGTGTGGGATCAGTGGCCCGGCTGTGCAGGGCCCTGGCTCCCTGCAGCCACAGGCTGGGCCTTGCTGCCTCCCGGGCAGTCAGGCCCTGTCTGGAGCCCTGTGTGCCCTGCTGTGCCCTGGGCCAGGGGTGGGACCCTGTGGGACGTGCCCACTGTGGGACGTGCCCCACTCTGGGATGTGCCCACTGTAGGATGTGCCCCACTGTGGGATGTGCCCACTCTGGGATGTGCCCACTGTGGGATGTGCCCCACTCTGGGATGTGCCCCACTGTGGGATGTGCCCACTGTGGGACGTGCCCCGCTGTGGGATGTGCCCCATTGTGGGACGTGCCCACTCTGGGATGTGCCCCACTGTGGGATGTGCCCACTGTGGGATGTGCCTCACTGTGGGACGTGCCCCACTCTGGGATGTGCCCCAGTCCTGGCACAGGGTTGTTCACAGCCTGCCCTTACAGGGGGATGGGATTGCAGTCCAGCCTGACCTGGGTGCTGCGTGGGACCCCATAAATTGCCCTTGAACACAAATCTCATGCTCTGTCCCAGAGCAGGCAGACAGGCAGTGTCTGTGGGGTGGTTTTTGGTTTTGGGCA